ACTTTTAACATCCCTGGGGTTTTTTTTCTATAGGGTTAGGGGTGCAAGGGCCTTGTAACTTGACAGCTTTAAGACTTGCGTGCTTCAAATGCCAGTTTCTGAGCCAACATTTTGGTTGCTAAGAAAAAGCGTTGTTAAGTGATTTTTACCACATTTTACAAGCTGGCCACGCCCACCCAGTCACATGACTGGCAAGCCACTCCCACTCAGTCACATGGCCGGCAAGCCACTCCCACAAAGCAGGCCACACCTACAGAAGAGGTTCTAACAATTTTTGAAACCCACCACTGACCCACACCCACCCACCCACACAACCATTAGACCCCCCCCTCTCCCGTTCCATTCCATTCCTTTCTGCTGGGAAAGGGATTAACAATTTCTCTTATGAAACAATGCTACCAATATCAAGCTATTCTTTATCCCTGCCACTTTGGTCATGTTAGTTTCCCTTGTTCATCATGCTTTACAGAATTTACAATACAAATTTGGTTTTTAAAGGAAGCATGTTGTAGGAACAGTGCCATTACTTTTATGAAAATAGATGAGGTGGGGAGAAAAAAGTAAGGTTCTGATTTAATTTTGTATATTTCTCAGATCTGAATATTTTGAATTAAGTAATCTGTAGCAAAATATTATTTTAATAATTTACATTATATTTATTACTTAATAATAAAGAATGCATTTTCTTATTTCCTGAAATTTGAGGGAGATACAGAAAGGCTCCATTCCCTGTCCAGCGTATATTTAATTTGAATTATGTATTTAGTGCATGATTTAATCTGTTTCAAAACAACAGAGGCAGAAAGAAGATAGAGGATGTGTGTTATTTTATGCACTGACAAATACGGATGAAGAGAGAATGTTGTTCAGCAACAGAAATGAGAGTATGAATATCCACATTCAGATCTGTTTCACCCCCTATTAAACCATAATGCAGTTTATTTGTTTATTTGAGGATAAATCAGTCTTGACTCCTAGCAACTGCCTGGATAAGGCCCTGTGGTTTTCTTGGCAAGATTTTTAGAAACAGTTTGCTATTGCCTGCCTGCTATTGCTAACAAGCTGGCTTTGTGCTTAAGTCACGACTAGAACTCATGGTCTCCTGGTTTCCTAGCCCGGTACACTACACCAAACTGACTCTTTTTATTTGTCTTTTATTTTATATTAAACAAATGTAGGGATTGTGGTAGCATATACTTAATGTTATTTATGCAATGCATTTGTGTTCTGCTGTTTGTCTGGAAGCTCAAGGCAGCAAAAAGAGGAGACTGCTCAAGCTCCTCACATTTATCACCCTTAAGACAGCCTCTAAAAACATCACACTTGTAGGACTCAATCTGGGTCCATCACCAGAACCAGAGGTTTAGTCTTTTGAGTTTCCGGACTCAAGCTGGTGCCCATCCTAAGAAAACTTCTCTCTACTTGAATGTGTGTGGCACATTCCAGTAGAGAGAAATCATTTGAGGATGGCTCCAATATGAGTCTGAAACAGAGGTGGTATTCAGCAGGTTCTGACCAGTTCTGGAGAACTGGTAGTGGAAATTTTGAGTAGTTCAGAGAGCCAGTAAATACCACCTCTGATTGGCCCCATCTGTATCTGTTCTCTGCCACCTGAGTCCCAGCTGATCAGGAGGAAATGGGAATTTTGCAATAACCTTTCCCTGAAGTGGGGAGGGAATGGAGATTTTGCAGTATCCTTCCCCTGGAGTGAGGAGGGAATGGAGATTTTTCTGTATCCTTCCCCTGGAGTGAGGAGGGAATGGAGATTTTGCCGTATCCTTCCCCTGGAGTGAGGAGGGAATGGAGATTTTGCAGTATCCTTCCTCTGGAGTGGGGAGGGAATGGAGATTTTGCAGCATCCTTCCCCTGGAGTAAGGAGGGAATGGAGATTTTGCAGTATCCTTCCCCTGGAGTGGGGAGGGAATGGAGATTTTACAGTATACTTCCCCTGGAGTGAGGAGGGAATGGAGATTTTATAGTATCCTTCTCCTGTCATGCTCATCAAGCCACACCCACAGAACCTTTACTATATATTTTGAATCCCACCACTGGCCTGAAAGCTTGGAAAACTAAACCTCCTGTCCCTGTGACCGATCCAGATTGAGTCCTGCAACATTATCATAGGACATGTATATTTGCCTTCATTTATCGAAGTCACAGTGGTTCAGTATTGACTTTGCCTTCGTAGAAATAATTTACTACAATTGATATCTCCTTTATGCTTGGTTCAGGCTAAAGTGCATTGAGTCATGGCTTTAGAATTAAATGACTGTGAATTTCGGGTGAAATGGACGGCAGGATTGCTATGTCCCATAACATTTGATTTCTCATAGTAGTAAGATATATATATAAAAAGATTCCTCTTCTGTATACTTCAGAAAACTTGAAACAAAAGATCACGCATGGACTCTTGTACTTTAAATCATTCTACTGCAGATAATGATTTTGGAGATATGATTTTATCAAGAAGCATAAGAAAAGCTGTTGTATCTCACTGCTAACTTTTCAAGGTACAGGAAGCTGGTCTTCCCTTGCTATTGCACTTGGCAGCATTTTTAGTATTTAACACTTACTTCCTACACTTAGAAATAAGAACGTTGTGTACAAAAGGAGAGAATGGAGTTCCAGTCCTCTAAAAATGATAAATAATTACCTTTTCTTTTGAAAAAGTATAATAAAACAACATTTTCAGTGTAGATACAACATTTTCTTCTTGTTATCCAAGATAAATGTGATTCATGCTGAAGTCAACTGCTATTCCCACTTCTGTGGTGTTGCTCATAGTTTAAAATACATTAAAATTTAATGTGGATGTCGCTACTATTCTTTTAAAAGGATGACAAACCACATAAAGTTAAAAACAACTCAAAGTGCACAAAAGCCATTCCTCATTTTACACTTCTCTCTAACAATATGCAACATGCATAGATAAACACACCAACCTGCAGCCTTGAAGGGCTAAACTATACACCAGTGATGGCTAATATTTTTCTAAAGATGTGCCAAAAGTGTGTGTGTGTGCGTGCTATCGCGCATGCACGCATGCCCACTCACCTGCGCATGCACGAGGGACCACCCACTGGGGAATTTTCACCCTCCCCAGGCTCTGGAGGCTTTCCTGAAGCCTGGGGAGGGCAAAAACAGCCTCTCCCGGTCCTCCAGAAGGTCGAGAATTAGCTGGCCAGCACGCGCATGCACACCGAAGTTGAGGGCTGACGAGGGCTTCCATGCCAGCAAATATGGCTCCACATGCCACCTGTGGCATGTGTGCCATAGGTTTGCCATCACAGCTATATACTATTAGGGACTTCACTTTGAGTGGAGATCCCCGTCTCTTTCTCTCTCTTTCCATCTCAGAAAGCAACTGTAGAAAACATTGATTTGGATGGTAGGGGGGCTGTCAGCCCAAAGGACAGAAGTAAAGGGTTTGCCCCAAAGTTAACATGGCAGAGAAAATATGCTAATATAAATATACATGAAACTCAGCAAATTCTGGTGGCTGCCTGGAAAAGTGCTGCCATTTTCTTGTCAAGATTTTTGGATGGTTTGCCATTGCCTTTTTCCTGGAGTTGCCCAAGGACATCTGGCTGGCTTTGTGCCTAAGTGACTAAAATCACAGCCCCCTGGTGCCTATCTTGATGCCTTAACCACTACACCAAACTGTTTCTTTGTCTCTATTTCCTAATTCTATGTAAAGAATAGAATTATAGACAAGCATGCAGAAAGCCCATAAAATTTCTCAGACTTTGTCCTCCAGCTGTCTATTGGGGTACATAATAATATAATAAAGTGTAAGAAAAACAATATGCTCTCTTCTACAAAAGCTCCAATTTAGTATGAAGTGGAAGCAAATGCAGTATCTATTTCAGAAACATGGTACAAACATGTGAGAATCTTTGGTTGCAGTAGTCACATCAGGTTTACTCTTTGGCATGGGAAGTTATATACATAGTAGAGCAGGTTTACATATTGTAATTTCCACTTCAACAAAGGGCATGCAGTGGTGGGATTCAATTTTTTTTTTACTACTGGTTCTGTGGGCGTGGCATGATGTGGCTTGGTGGACATGGCAGGGGAAAGATACTGCAAAATCCCCATTCCCTCCCCACTCCAGGGCAAGGATACTGTAAAATCCCCATTCCCTCCCCACCCCACTAGCCTGCTTTCCAGCTCCGTTCTCCTGTGCAGAGCAACAGAAGACCCAGCCGATCAGCTGGGACTGTGATCAGCTGGGACGAGAGAGGCAGCGAATAGCTGGGGGCAGAGCCGAACTGTTCAAAATTTCCGCTACCGGTTCTCCAGAACCAGTCAGAACTGACTGAATACCACCTCTGGCATGCATATGGTACACTACCTTTGTACGGTTGTTTAATGTTTTAAACTCTCTCCCCCCTCTCCCCCCTCTCTCTTTCCCTCCCTCCCTCTAACTAGTTAACTAGCTTGGACTTGACCCAAGTAGTTCAGGGTCCAACTCACAGACCAGGACACACACTCAACCTTGTATTTCTCTCGGGCCAGTGGAGACGTGAGCCTTCTCTGTGGCTGCTCCGACCCTGTGGAATCAGCTACCCTCAGAGGTCCGGACCTTACCCACTCTCATGGCCTTCAGGAAAGCTGTTAAAACCTGGCTGTTCCGGCAGGCCTGGGGCTGTTGACCTTATTGTTAAGGTCCAGCCCTGATTAGAACGAATGCGTGTTGTGAATTTTAATCTATTCTTTTTGTTTTTCTTTTCTTTTTTCCCCTCCTTCTATGTAAGCCGCCCGGAGTCCTCCAGGATTGGACAGCCTATACATTTAATAAATAAATAAATAATAATAGCTATTTTAGTTAGTTAGCTATGTACCTCATCTGTCTGTCATCTGCAAAGAACAGTGACCTCAAATTTCCCCCCCCCAGCTATGCACTAGAAACCAGCATGGAACTTTGAATGTATACATTTCTATCTCTACCATGACATATTTAAAGAATGATCTTTCTTTTCTCTGTTTATTATGCACAGATGTCTAGAGCTCATGCAGATGCATTTAAAGCCCATTTGGCCCAAAGGTGATGATTTAATGTGAGTACAGATGCTGCACTATTGATCCTTAAACCTTAAGGTTATGTATTTGTTACACATTTATTGAACAAACATAAAAGAGGCTAAATAACTAGTGGATAAAAAGGTCTGAATGAGTTTGTTGGGCAGAGTATAGCACTGAAAGGAATACCCAAAGGTCCTAAATTCAGGGCACCAATTGAAGCACACAGCACCCATCTTTCATTGTCTGCTTGCTAGTTTCTGCAGCTGGTAAGAATCTGCAAAATCAATACTTAGGCACGTAGGACATTTATTTGTTTGTTTGTTTGTTTGTTTGTTTATTTATTTATTTATTTATTAGACTTATATACCGCTTCATAGGGCTTTCAGTCCTCTCTAAGCGTTACAGATTTTTAGTAAATTGAGTCAGCAAATTGCCCCCACAGTCTGGGTCCTCATTTTACCCACCTCAGAAGGATGGAAGGCTGAGTCAACCTTGAGCCGGTGAGATTTGAACCGCTGAACTGCAGATAACAGTCAGCTGAAGTGGCCTGCAATACTGCACCCTAACCACTGTGCCACCTCGGCTCTTACCTTTACCTTTCACTGAATTAAACTTTTGGTACATGTGATCCTTCTCAAAATTACTAAATTATAAATGTTACAGTGATAGAAAAAAAGTAGAAATAATGACAGACATGGGGAATAAACACATGGTATGAATGCCATTTATTTGATAGTATTGTTTCTGCCCTGCTCAGTCCATTTTTTTAATTTTTGTTATTCTTATATTTGGGGACTGTGACCTTCTATTCTTCTACTTCTCAAAGACTAAAAGCGACCCACATAATGTGATGGCAGATCTTAAGGGGATTCCAAGAGAGGTTTTTCCCAAGTTTTACCTGGAGATTGTAGACCTCGACATGTTCTGCATACAAAAGAAACATCTAGCTATGCATGAAACTTAACAGGTTTCAGGACATGACTTACTTTCTCTGAAACTAGCATTACTAACTAATCCACCAGCTAGTAAACCAGTTAAACAGCTTAGTGATTAAGGCAAATTGCAACTGGCCACACTAGGATATTTTGAGTGTGATCTCCCCCTCCCCCACCTCCCCAGAGCTGTGACACATTTTGCCACTGAATACTGAGTTTTAACTGATGGGGTAAGGCAAGCTACGAAGTGCTTGCTAATAGTCATATGAACTATATTTAATTAACTTAATTGCAACTGACATTTAATTCAATCAAATAGCATTTAGGTATTTTGTTTAGGACTGCCATGCCCTTTCCCGTGTCCCTAGGATAGTAGTCAGAGCCTAAGGATGGTTCTCGACCCAAAAGGAATAAACAGCATGAATTGAGGAGCAGGATGGTGGCCTAAAATAGTTATTTCCAATTCTATGATCTTAATGAACAGGAAGCTGAGTATGTGTGAACTCTTTTGACATTGAAAAGCACATCTAAATGCAGCCATAGTGGGGCAGTAGAAGTAACCCTTATCAATCAGTCCTTATCAGCAATAGGAATAGCTCTTATCGGCTTGTCCTCATTTTTTAATGCATGGAAGAATCGTGTGGGGTTACATGGCATATAGCTATAATAAACAACTGCATAAGGTTGACCAGATTTTTCATTAAAAACCACAAAGACTGACAAATGATTGAACCCAGGTTTCTGGCCTAAAAAAGGAAACCTGGGGCTAAAAAGAGAAAGCAAACAAAACAGGATAGAACACCATATTTTGTGTTAAACTGTGATTCCACTCAGTTACACGTCACATCAAATAACAGCAAGCAAGAACAGGATTGGTTTTTTAAAAATGTTATTTATTATTTGAAGGAAGCTAGATCATCCAGGAGAACTTCAATGCAATGAAGAAAGAGGACACACATTGCAAGATGGACAATGTACAAACCTTTTCCTTTGCTCATTGCTTGGATCCTATCGTAAACACCAATATAGCTTCGCCCCTCAGTGAGGAATTCAGGGCACAGCTTGCCCAATTTGGATACAGCCCTCCCACAGACTTAGAAAACTTCAAAAGCTCTCTGGAAGGGGGATCTCGTAAACGTAAAAGTATGCCAACGAAAGTGTCTTCCACTGCCCCTCCAGGAGATCCCACATCTCAGTTGGAGAAACCGGAAGAAAATGTTGATGGAGGTTCTCCCAGCCCCCCTTCAATATTTCAGCACGAATCCACACAGCCAAAGTACAATGGTCACATGATCGACCTCTGCAACCTTGGCTATCACTTTTATAGGACTCTGGAACATTTTGGGACACAGCCTATCAAAGAAGAACCAATGAAGCCCCAGGTTCTATGGCCTGGCCCCACCACTTTTCTGCAGGCTCCCTATTCATACTATCCAAAAATTCATCCTACTCTAATGTTTCCTTTTATGATTCCCCCAGATTTGCATTTCAGAAATCCTTTCCCATTGAAAAGGCCCCCAGAGCCTCCCTTTAAAAGGGTTGAGTTAAATGAGCAAGCTGAAAAGAAGCAAAAGGTGGAAAGAGTAGACGTCAACATTCAGATCGATGACAGCTATTACATTGACGTAGGAGGGGAGCAGAAACGCTGGCAGTGCCCCATGTGCGACAAGTCTTACACATCCAAATACAACTTGGTCACCCACATCTTGGGGCACAGTGGCATCAAGCCCCATGCTTGCTCTCGGTGTGGCAAGCTTTTCAAGCAGCTGAGTCATCTGCATACCCATATGCTGACTCATCAAGGCACTCGGCCCCATAAGTGCCAAGTGTGTCACAAGGCCTTCACTCAAACTAGCCACCTGAAGAGACACATGATGCAGCACAGTGACGTCAAACCTTACAGCTGCAGGATTTGTGGAAGGGGTTTTGCCTACCCCAGTGAGTTGAAAGCTCATGAATCCAAGCATGAGAGTGGCAGAGAAAATATCTGCATTGAGTGCGGCCTTGACTTCCCGACTTTATCTCAGCTGAAGAGGCACCTAACCACCCACCGAGGTCCTGTTCAATACACTTGTACCGAGTGTGACAAGATATTCCAGTATCCAAGTCAGCTGCAGAATCACATGATGAAGCACAAGGATATTCGCCCTTATATTTGCACCGAATGTGGCATGGAATTTGTGCAGCCACATCACCTGAAGCAGCATGCCTTAACTCACAAGGTAAGCTAATGCCAGGGATTCTCCAATAGTTGTGCTGGAGGGGAGGGGACAACACTTTTTTAAGGACCTGCTAAAATGCAAATATTTTTAAGCACTTCTAAACTGAAAATAGCAGAGAAGTCACTTCCAGATTACCACCATGTTTACTTCTCCCTAACCTCAGAAACACTTTCAGTCTCAGTAGCAATGATCCTCACTGCAACCAATCTTGAAATTTCAAGAACAACATACTTGCGGCTGCTGTCCAATAGATGTCTACAAATTGACATCTGGACAATTTCACCCTCTGTCTTTATATGCCAGTCTGCTTATTTGACAATTTTTTTTGAAACACCTGACTGTGCTTTTAATCGTATCATAAAAGAGAAGCCATCTAAACTCAATTAAAACCCAAAACAAAACACAGCACAGCATCACAGCAGCAAGCCCGCTATGGGAAAGGAAGAGAGTGAAGGAGCGCTAAGGTAGATAAAATAAGAGTTGCCTTAAGGGAAAACAACTGAACCCAAACCCCAAGGTTTGCAAAGATAGATTCCTTTTCCACTGTGGTTGAGCCAAAGTGAATATTCTCAGCTGCCCAACAGAGGAGATGATCTTGATGACAAGCACAGCCAATTCAGGTTTGGCATAGGTACCACATGTGGAAGCCACTTGAGGCTCCAACTTTGCCCACATATCTGGTAGAAAGCTTCACACAATCCAAAAGATCTGAGCATGTCCCATTAGATCCAGCAGAGAGGACATGCTTTGCAAGATCCATCTGCAAAAGAATGAGTTCAAGACAAGTTGTGCCTTGGCCACGAAAACCAGCTGTGTGGGGTTTTGTGAAGAAAAAAAATAGAAAGAGAATGTATTGCATATGTTTGCTCCCTTGAGTTATTTTTAAAAATAATAAAGATGGGATATAAATCAATACAAAAATAACATAAAATAATAAAAGACCTACTTTGATAGGTGCCAGAAAGTGGACCTCCTCTGCCTTGATACCCACTTTATAGAACATTCTCCCTCCTGAAGCTAGGTTAGCTCCATTCCTATTAATGTTCAGAAAATTCATCAAGACCTAGTTTTGTCTGGGGGGGGGGAGAGAGAGGGAGAGAGAGTGGGAGAGAGAGAGGGAGGGAGGGAGAGAGAAAAAACTTAAAACTTATAGCTATGACCACCGGAAGTGAATACTATCCATTTGGATAGTATTTCCTATTGGTGATCCTGTGAATTAAAACAATAATTATTGAGAGAATCAGGCAGTAGGATACGATAACATTCCAAATATGTTCTGTAATAATTGAATTAAAATAAATATTCATTATAGAAACAGGTAATTGTGAGTGATAATTAAATTGCTTCTTTTTTTGGTTTATAGAATAATTTTAAAGTAGAATTGATGGAAAGCTTAGGGACAATAATACTATAATTCTCATTAGTCAGTATTATTTTCTAACTATAGTTATGAGTTTTTGAGCCAAGGTAAAAAGTTTATTTCTTTATATTGTACTTTTGCAATAATAATAACAACAACAATATTAATAACAATAAAACAATAACAACAACAAACAAAAACAAGCAGAACTTGGGCTATTTTAGCACAAAGACTTGTGACATTTGTCAATACTGTGGGAAGTTTTATATTTTATTTCTAACACTGTTTCCATTTCCCCTTAAACATTAGTAGAATCCATGTTACTCCACTGAATAATTGACAGTCAAGCTGAAACTAAGTTAATCAAGTAAAAATAGCAAATGGGGGGAAAACGTTTCCTCAGATTTTCTTAAACTGCCAAATAATTATCCAGACCTAGTCCGCATATCAAAGGAGAAAGTCTGTAAATACAGAGTTAATTAAAATGGTCTCCCAGAGGAACTGCATGTTTCCAAAAATAAACATCCTAGATGACATGTACCTACCCACACCCATCAAGTGTCACCTTTAGGCAAACATTTTTGCTTTTAGAAATAAATAATTATCTTACCTCACAATTTTCTGGAGTTCATTTTTATTTATTCTAGTGCAACTCTGGCTTAAGTTGGAGCTCGAAATTATTTTTCTGAGAATACACTACTTATTTATTTAATATGTTTATTTTTCAGAAACTAAACAACCAGCCAGCATAATAGATATCAGTCTTATCTGATCTGCCATCCATAGTTTATTTTATTTATTTATTTCATCAAGAATGGATTAGATAACAGATATAAGTATAAACATGATTACGATTACATGAAATGAATACGAATACAAGGGAATATTGGTTCTGTAGTTCCGATTTGTTCTGATACAAGGGAAATCAGGTTCTGATTTCAAATTAAGGCTGGGAAGCACTTTGGATACATTTCCAAAATAATGCTTGGTACACAGACACCAAATGCTACCATTAGAACTAGAAACATGTTAATAAGAAGTCATGAAAAAGAAGTAACATCTTGATATATGTAACGGGTGAGTTATTAAAAAGTTTGAATTAGCATATCATTGGCTGGAGTCGACATATTTCTTAGTTTTTTTCCCCACCAGACATTATTATTGCAGACTAAAGGGCAATCATGATCACAGAACTGAAATAAAAAGCAACCCTAGTAAAAACCAAGATCAAATTTAAAAAAGAAAAATTTTAGGGGTTAGGAATCGTCACTTACTTCATTCTTATGTTTTTCAAGGGTGTGAAAGAGCACAAGTGTGGAATCTGTGGCCGGGAGTTTACGCTACTTGCCAATATGAAAAGACATGTCTTAATTCACACCAATATCAGAGCCTACCAATGTCACCTCTGCTTTAAAAGTTTTGTGCAGAAACAAACTCTCAAAGCCCATATGATTGTCCATTCAGACGTCAAACCTTTCAAGTGTAAGGTGAGTATTTTTTTACCTAGGTACATAATCAAATGAACAAAAAGGTACCAAAATGGTTTTTTTTAAGTCACTGGTGGAGAAGGACCTGAGACATTCATTATAAGTTGCATGATAAACAGCAAAAACAACTTGTCATAAATATTATTATGTCTGTGGCTAGCTGACATTTGCACTAATACAGATATGTAAATATCAATATTATTGAATTCAGAGCACATAGATGATTTAATAAGACCTCAAAATAGCGCTTTTCATACATCATCATACAAACCAGTATGATTCACTTTCATGATGCCCCACATCTGCTTTCCTATGCTTGCTGGTAAGTTTGACTCTTTTAAAAGGAAGGAGATAAATTCATGTTTAAGAAAATTAGAATGAAGACAGTTTGTTGAGCTGTACCACACAGCATTTGTTTCCAATAACTCTCACCATGCTTTAAATCAGGGGTCTCCAACCTTGGCAACTTTAAGCCTGGCTGGGGAATTATGGGAGTTGAAGTTTGCCAGGCTTAAAGTTGCCAAGGTTGGAGACCTCTGATTTAAATCTAACCAATAAGTCCTCCACTTTGGTGTGAATTTGTAGTTTACAGGAATTACTGTACTTTCAACCAACCATTGTTCAGAGAAAGCTAGCCAATATCAGAACACTAAAAAGACTAGCCAGTCATTGTTCACATGCTGTCCATGCCTGAGCATCCTCCTTCCCAGCACTCCAATAATCAACAACAGCCCCTCACTCACTCTTTTAAAAAATATTTGTTTGGTATATAATGATGCTATTATTCTAGCAAGGCCTGAAAAATGCTTTGTCCAAGAAACTCCTGATTATGGATCAAGCAGCAAAGCTACATTTGAAATCCCAATGGTGCTTTTTCAAGAGGCAACTGGACTTTCCAGTTTTTCTTTGAAGATGGTTCAAGAAGGTTGGATGAGAAGTGAAACATCTTCAGAGAAAGATCAGAAAGTCCAGTTGCCTCTTGAAAAAGCACCTTTGGATCAACCATGACCTGGATGACTGAGAATCTCCATAGACATTTAGCGATACACTGCATTTGAAATCTTTTCCCAAAATGGATTTACTAAAACAGGATAAGTGTCACCTGTAGATGACATTAAAAAAAGCTTTTCCCCACACACAGCACTGTGGAAATAGACCTAGGATATTACAGCAGATCATTGTTAATTTGCTATTAACATTGTGTGACAGGATAGAGATCTATAAAGCAACAGAAGGAGAAAGTCAGTGCATTGCTTGTCAACCTTAGCAACTATAAGACTTCAACTTCCAGAATTCCCCATCCAACATGGGAGTTCATTCTTCATTATTAGAAAAGAGACATTAATGAATCTTAAGCTAACATATTTATGAACTTTCTTCCTTATCATCTGGTGTGAGTGATCTCTAAGTATTTAAAAGAAGTATTTAAAAGAAACAAATCTGAGCAATTTCTCATATCAAAAGGTTGGGAGCAGAAGCCGAACTACTATTTTACTAATAACAAAAGAAGTACTTATACTAGACCAGGATAATCCACTTGTTGTGTTTGTCATTCAGTACCAATCCACAGCTAAGGGTCAACAAAACAAGCAGTGGTTTCTTTGGGGCATTTGAGCCAAGGTGGCGCAGTGGTTAAATGCAGCACTGCAGGCTACTGCTAGATCAGCAGGTCAGCGGTTCAAATCTCACCGGCTCAAGGTTGACTC